ACATGAAGGTGAATTAAATTATAAAATTTGAGGTTAAGTTATTTTTAAATTTATTTGGGGCATTTTAAACGTATTTATTTATTTAGTGGTTCATTTATATGTTTCTGCTTTTAATTCTAATTATGTCAGTGTCGGTCCTCCATACAGCAGAACTTGGAAGAGGTAATTCAGTGACTGAATCAGGTGTGCTGGAGCAGGGAAACATGTAAAACATGCAGGACTGCGGCCCTCGAGGACCACGATTGCCCACCCCTGATTTAGAGTTTAGAATAGTACCTCATTTTAATTTTTGTCTGCTGCTGTGTTGCTGCAGAAATGTCTGTGAGAATGTCCAACCTGGACAACGAGCGGGATGAGAGGGATGAAGACAGCCACGAGGACAGAGGAATCAGTAAGTACCAGTTTGGAAGTTTGACGATGGCTTCTCTGGTTTTGGACGGACGGTCTTGGCACTGACCTGTGCCCTCTCTGGACTTTTTCAGTCAGCAACACCAGATTTATAGCGGCGGTGATCGAGAGGCACACTCACACGCCTGAACGGAGACGGAGGTACTGGGGTCGATCCGGGACGGAGAGCGACCACGGTAAGGATGCACGCTCGTGGTTTGACAGGAAGCTGGGAGGTTTACGAACTGAAGCGGTTTGGTACGCCAAACCGTGATTCACGCTATTGTCCATCCGTAAGGAGTCTGAATAAGTTTGCAGAAAACCAGTTAATTCGCTTCTAAAAAGCTTTATTCAAAAATCTGATCTCCAATTCAGCTGTCAGCCAGGCAGAGGCTGCGAGTTTGAGGCCTTGGGCSTTATCAGAAAAGCAAAACAATAACAAAACCTCCCTGCAGCCCAGCATCGGTCCCAGGCTAAACTAAAATAAATAATGAGGAATCACTCCTGTAAAGTCACATGTTCATAAACCTAACTTCCTGGTCACGTACCCAGGGGCCGTACCTTTTATGTCAGACATTTGCATGTAAAAAAAAGCTTTGTTTCTGCAGAAAGAAGGGCCTCATATTGATAAGACACACTGACTACGTTTAAAGCATATGACTGAAAAATGCAAAACTGGATCTTAAATTCAGTTAATAACGCACAAAATTTCCTTTCCGTCCGTCCAACCGACCGAGGACCGTGGCCTCAGGTTTGGAGATGCTGATCCTAATCCCACCTGCTTCACACTCCGCTGTGAACCGCTCCAGTGAGAGCTGAAGCTTACGGCACGATGACGCCAACAGGGCCACATCATCTGCAAATAACAGAGATGGAGTCCTGAGGCCACCAAACAGGGACTCGCTTTAACCAAGAAATTCTGTCCATAAAAGTTCTGAACAGAATCGATGACAACGGGTGACCCTGACGGAGTCCGTCTGCGACTAATTGTCGTAAATGTGAACCAAACTTTGAAGGACTCTGCAGGTGCTGAACGGACCGTAACAACGGACCCACGATCCCGTACTCACAGAGCACCCCTCAGTGTACCTAAAGGAACAGGGTCGAACACCTCCACAAAGAAGTCCACAAAACACATGTAGACTGGATTAGCGAACTCCCAGGCCCCCTTGAGGACCCTAGTGAGGGTAAGGAGCTGGTCCATTGTTCCACCACCACAACAGAACCAGCTCCGTTCCTCCTGAATCTGAGGTTCAACCATCGATCCGACTCTCTTCTCCAGCACCCCTGAATAGACTGAACGGAGGAGTAGAGGTGGGCGGATCGATACTAAATATTGATACCAGCGCCGGTATTGATATTGAACAATACTCGTGTAAAAAGATCGATACTCAAGCTTTGTTCTTTCCCGCACACACTGACTGCTGCACATGCAGATTTTTCAAAGTCCACTCTCTGTCTGTAG